TGCATCTGCGCCTTGATCCTAGAGGGTGGTGGCGTTCCCACGGCGGATGCGGAAAACTCGGCTTCCAGCCGAGTCTCACGCGAACCGTGAAATTTATTTATTATATTCCATGGGCACACAGTCAGTCCAGCACAATACTCCAATCGTATTTCACTATTACTCGCGTGTCATAATTGGGAATATGGGCTGCTCCAGCTGCTCTGCCCGATATCCCTGATATACCAACTAGACGAAAAGTGTGTCCTGAGCCTGTATCGTGTATAAGGCTCATAGTAAAACAAATAATAAAGTCTTAAAAATCAGGGTTCACGTGACACTCGGCTTGAAGCCGAGTTTTCCGCATCCGCAGGAACGCTACCACCCTCTAGAATCGTAGTACATGTATACTGGACTCTGCAATGAACAGATTATGAAACTCCCTGAAGATTTAGTCATCTCTGGTGACTGGTCTTGGGTAGGGCCCGGTATAATATGCCCGAAATTTTGCCGAAATGCTTTTGGGAAATTCTCGTAAACCTTGCCGAAAATGCTGTCAAACCTTGCCGAAAATGCTCGGAAAATGCTCACTTTTTTGCAAGAATCGCTCTCTACAGTATCTTCATCTTCAATCACTGTCATCCGAAACACACTCAATAAGAGACTTGCTCGAGTCTGCCATGGTAAACAATTCATACTACTCAACAAGAAGCTAACCCACGGAATGCGGAAGTGACGTTCTTGTTTGGGAAATTTGTCTTCTCTGAATTTTGATACACAACGGCCAAGTGCTCCGTTTCCCCCAAAATGCTGCATCACGAGCCCAAAGTGCTGGGTTCGCGGATTGTACCGAAAATGCTAAAAAATATGCCGGCATACTACACGGGGGCCTAGTCTTGGGGCACCGTGGAAGCTGTGAATGGTTGCCAAGTTTAGTTTTGTGACTGATTATGGGGCATTTGTGATTACTTAAAAGCATAACTGCTCACAGAGCCCTGATTGATCACAGAGTCTTACTGTTGTGAATATTAAAGTCGAGTGAGAAGTCAAGCAGCCACGGGGCGCTGGCCTTGCAGCTGTGAGTATGCATACGGTACATATTCACATGACTCTATTGCATGCTGGACACTGCTGGTCCATTGTTGCAGTGTGTAAGTGAACTGCAATGGAACACCTACTCTTGAAATTAAGACTGTTTGAGCTAATACATATATCCTCAAACTAGTCAAGATATATAATAGTAATAGTCTTTTACTGCACTCTCATGCTGCTCATATTACCATATGCCAGAAGACCCTAAGTTAGTTCTAAGATATTGTGGACCATGCGACCATGTGGTACTTTCACTCTACAGCCAAGTCAACCCACTCCGTCAACACATAGGGTTTTCCTCACACACAAGCGAATGGTTTACTCCACTCTGGAGAAGAACACAGTTTGCTCTCTCGAACACCACCAGCAGATAACTACGGAACATAGGAAGTGTAACAACTGCTAGAATATTGAACTGTCGTCCACACAAAACAAATAAGGACAACTGAAAACCAAAACACATGCAACTGCCAACATGCATGTAACAGCGACTGCAAGCCAGAACTACAGACTCCGCGCAGGGAGGAACAGGGGAAACAGAGGTAACGCTTCCGACTCCGAGAGCTTCAAATAGCAGCGGACAACACAATACATCAACCTTGCGTGTCACCTTGCGCTACCGCACACGGACACCTATGGATGCACAGTACAGTACAGACTCAGTGCATGCACGGCGCAATAAATGGAGTACAATGTCATGTAAACCGACAACGGTCACCTTGCACCCTATGCAGTAAGTTACAGAGGCGGTGCCAACAAAAGAGCAGGGTACGTGTATAGTGCACACCCCAATGGCACAGCAGAGAATGTTCTCACCAATAGCCGCTGCTAGCTCTTTGTCATATTGCTGTGCCAAATGATATTGTATAGACGCGCCATGCGGAAATGGACTGCTTATGAGCGTGAATGGTACCCGGCAGAAGCGATACATTGCCAGGCTGGATGGGGTGACTGATGTACTGTCGGAGTTGGCGAACCACAGAAATCGTGTCGCATCTCTGTATGCTGGGTTGACACTGATTTGTAGAATGGCCTTCTCAGTATCGCAGGTCATGACGATTGGTGGCAAGCAAAATCGCAGAACAATGCCAAACAGATCTAGCAGCAAAACTGGGCTACGTTGCAAACAGTCATTCAGGGACACTTTAGTGTGTCTGGCTTTGGCTGAGGCGTCATAGACAATTCTGACTTTTGTGATAGTCTTCTGTCGGCGCAGGCCACGCAAGTTTTTCGGCACCGACGATTCGTTCATCCACTAACAGTCGAAACAAATGTTTCTAACTTGAACACTCCGTAGAGCTACCACTGTTGTGCCAAGGCCCATTGGCGCATGGTGTGTATACTCCAAATCTACATGTATGACGATGGGTCACTGCTGACGTTTGTGCTCTTGGACAGTGCAACGCCGCATGAAGATATTATGTTGTGGCTCCACAATCGCTGAGAACGCTAGTGTGCGTCCACGGAATACTAAAACACAATAGGCGCGGCGCAGCTAACGCCCACTTGGATGAATCGGAGTGGTGGCGAGTGCATTCTCGATCTCCTTCCTCGGTGAACACTGCTACAAGACATTATGCTTGATGATTCACCAAACACCATCGTTGGGGGCCAAATAACTAGTTTTCCGGCACCAGCGAGTTGTTCGTCCAGCAACTAACTTTGAGTCTTTCTTCAACACTTCGTAGAGCAGCCGCGCAAGGCCTTTCCTTCGCGTTAGGGTAGCGATCCTTCCTAGATGCTATCGCCATTCATTGTTACTTTTTACTACAATGACACCCCAGTACACGGAAGTAGTGTTTCTCCGAAAATAAAGTCAGCTGCCATTACTCGCCATTCGGGCATTTAGCCTAGGCATCACTGAGTACGGAGTCAGTACTCTTATCTCACCGCAGTCAGTCAGTAGCACTAGCAGCTCGTCTAGCTATGCAGTACTAGCAGCACCACCGGCCAGCGTTGCCTGGCCGAATGACTATGTGGCATGCGCGGGTGAACGTGAAGCAAGTACATGAACAGCACACGTGCTCAGCACGTGGTAGTGGCCAGACCACTGATGTCCTGGTGAGCTGAGGCCGGAGGGAGGTTCTTCATCGTTGGAAGGAGAAGGAGGGACGTCTGTTAATCATGTTACGCCTTCGGGAGGCTGGTCAGGGTTGTCCATCACCTGGTGGCGGATGAAGCGGCTCAAAAAATTCATAAACTTTCATAAAAATTCATAAACTTACGAACAAAAGTGCGATGCGCTCTTCACTGCAGATCAGATGCAGAGTGCAGTCAGTGCAGATCTTTTGTATCCTTTTGTTGCAGATGTTTCTATTTGCAGAGAACGGTTCACGTGGTCCGCACTCCGCAGCGCTTGTGCGGCTGCTAGTGCTACCTATGGCCTATACCCCCCCTAGGCTAGATACAAGGTGGCTACATGATTCGCACGCTTCGCGTGCTCAGTGCTTCTGCGCGCGGCTGCATGCTACTCGTACTGATCGTGCACGCGTGTCTGCTACCACCGGCACCGGTGCACCTACACTGTTCGCACGCTTCGCGTGCTCAGCACGTGGTGGTGGCTACACGATTCGCACGCTTCGCATGCTCATTGCTTCTGTGGCTGCTTCCGCTAGCTACACGATTCGCACGCTTCGCGTGCTCAGTGCTTCTGCGGCCGCTAGCTACACTTGCACTGACTGTGCTACACTGTTCGCACGCTTCGCGTGCTCAGGGCAGCGCTGCTCAGTGCTCCGCAGCTAGCGCTTCAGCGTGACACAAACACACACGTCACAGGTGCCTCTTCTTTATAAGGAGCGTGACACACACACACACACACACACACACACAGACACACGTCACAGGTGCCTCTTCTTTGTAAGTAAAGAAGATGATATATGCGCTAGGCCTAGCGCCTGGACTTTAGTTTAAAAATTAATTTTTGCAAGTCTTCAATCATGTTTGCATGTACGCGCTATCCAGCCATGTGGCGTGATCGTGAACAGATTGCATGCTTGACTAGAGTTGAATTGTTGAAAGGACAGGTAGCGAGTCGTAGATCTACGCGGACGTACGTGTCTGACACGTGAAACGAAAAGATATTTTTGGCGGGTAGTCGGCAAAAAATTAAGTGACGGTCGCTTTAGTCCTTCGCATTCCGTCCATCCACTGCTCGTCGTCACCATGGTCACTTGACGACGGGCAGTGGATTGAGTGGAACCATACCAGTTCCATCACCGCTCAGCATGCAGGATCGCGCTTTCCAGCCGGCACAATTATTTGATCTGTCATTGGTCGACTCCAAGGCGACAATCATGTGACATACGGGAAACAGGTTTCACTGTCTACGTCTCAAGTAAACGCATGATGCTGTTACTACTAGCACTACTAATATAAATAATTGTAGTAACACTCAGAACAGTGATCTTGTACCTTTTGCAGTGCATGTCAACTTACACACTGTACTGCTAGACTTGTAATTGTTGCGACCCAGACTCAGACTCAGACTCAGAGTGAAACGAAAACGCAGGCGAACCTTGTGTTTTCCCCTTGGCCATTTCGTGGGTGACACTACAGTACTAAGTCTTGTTACTGTACTCTGTAGATGTGAACAGCAACAACACTCCCAGATCCGCCTGGTCACTGGTCACTGGTGAAAACCAAAAAGAAGCTCGTCATCTCAGAACACACGGTACAGACTATGGCAGTGCATGCAGTACAGTAGTGATATTATTAGAGACACAGCTGTGCGTGTTCACCAACACCTACCACTGTAGCTGTAATAAGTGTACAATGTCACGCTACACTCTACAATGACTATGACTGTACTGAAGTAGTGCAAGTGCCAGCACTAGTGCCAGTGCCAGTAGTGCAGTACAGGTCCACTGCCGCGTCCTTGACTCTTGAGCCTAGCCTAGCTGAGCTGAGGCAGTGAGGGTCGACGCACAAAAGTGGCTGTCAGGCATTCCACAGTCCCATTTCTCCTAGTTCTGTCGACTGGACATGTGCAGAATTTTACTAAAGAACATTCTTGATCTTTGCTCAGCTGAGCTGGCGGGGAGCAGCCACCCATTCGGACGGCCTGTTACCAGTGTTAGCTTGAAAGCTGTTGCGCCGCTTCGCTGACAAGTAGGTTCGTGACTTGGCCGCCTCCAGAGCAACGATATTCAAGATGGTGAGTTCATTGTAGCGGTACGGTGTGGGTGTTGAACGTACTTGTGTGCCCTTTGGCTTTGGGTGGGTGTATCATGTATGTGCGTGTGTGTGAGTGAGGGTGATTGCCTGTGCATGCGCGTGTGTCAACTAAAAATGTAACTCACTGGGAAAGGCAGTGTTTTGGTTTTAGCTTGGAGTAGCCATGCCCCTGAGCTGTGGGTCTGTGTGCGGATGCTTGCTCGTGTGGCGACTGGCGCCGCCGTCCGGAACTGTCGTACTCGAGTCGACACCTTTTCCCTGCTACGACTATGTCGCTCAGCTGTCGACCATGTCGCTCAGCTGTCATAACTTGGTCCGGGGGACACCCGCGGAACCGGCGCATGGGCAATGGTTGTCATCCACCCTGACAGTCGACAGGTCAATACTGCCCCCAGCCATTATTATGTCGTTTCCTTTCAAAGTCCATGAAAACCTGATGTAACGTTGGTTTACAGGGTTACCGAGAAGTTGGCAGCCTACGGCCAGGCTATTGCCGCACTGCAGGCGGAAACTCTTTTTTTGTTCAAGCTACCAGCATGCCGACGACGGCGAGGAATGATAGCGGTGCTTGTCGAGATCTGAAACCACATGGTCAAGAGTTACTCGAAACAGGATTTGTACGAATCACTGTACTCGTAGGTGGCAACGCCATGATGATTAGTTGGTCTGACAATGATCTGACAACCCTGACCAGCCTAAGGATTCTGCGCGCAATCGGATTTGGATTTGGTACAGTGAAACCTGTCTATGACGACTGCTCAAGGGACTTTCAAAGTGTGGTCTCTGTATTAAACCAGGTGGTCTCCTTATCCAGTCCAATTGACTGGAAATAGCATCCCTTGGTCCTGGCTGCAGTGGTCTTCTGGGACAGGTGGTCGCCTTATCCGAGTGGTCACCTTGACAGGTTTTACTGTACTTATAGTATTAGGAGGGCTACTTGAGTTTGACACCTAACCAGAGGCAGAGCATGTAATGACGTCATCATTGAATAATTTGATTTTATCCAAGTTAATACTATTCCAATGTACTTGAGTGTAGTCGCGAGTCTCAGAAAGAATACAGACACAAAGCTCGGAAATTCGTCAACTTGGAAGTTGTAGTGAATTACGGAAGTAGCTTTCTCTTTCCTCAGTACGCACTTGATACCGGGGAGTTGTAAAATATTAGCTTCTCCTTGCTTGAGACTGAGCACGGCACTATGAAAATTCAAAATACGCAAGCAATTTGGATGTTTTCACCAAAAAGGCATAATAATTATTGCGTTGCTAAACCTCACAAGGCTTCTTCTGGATCATATGTTCTATACATGTACATGTAGGTATATTACCGCCACCAAAAGTTTGAACTTTTGCTAGACATCCCTATTTTAGTTCAAGACAAAGGGTTGGGAATTTTCACACTCGATCTAGCATATGCAAGAATAATGCACTTCAGTGCTTCAAAGAGGTTGAACCACTGTCTGAGGGCAGCTACCACCAATGTTCGCCTCTTGAATAGGGAGGGCAGCAGTGAAACAGTTCAGTACAACGTACCCTGCATTATAGAAACTTACCACCGGACATAAAAGAGTACAGCACTTAGGAGAGTACTTAAAGTATCATTGATATATTTAGAAAGATGTAGCGACATCCGCTGTGATTAGTGAGGAAAGTGTCTGCTCCGAACGTCGGAGCTGCCGACTGATTTGACACCTGACAGCTGAGGCCTATTTACACGACAACGATTGAAAAACGTTTTTTATTCCGTTTTCGAAACGTTTTTTTGCAGTTCACACAAAAACGATATGCGTGTACACAACCTCGGCTAGAATGTAAAGATTTTCATGGCCGTTGCAACCAAAACCTGCAAAGGCGACCACTCTGTTAACCCTTTTACAACTGCAGAGTAATGCCACCAGTCCACTATCGACCGGCGAAAATGGTTCATTTTTGCTGCACTCACACCGCGTCAAAACGTTCGTAACTCTGGCATCCATTCCCCAATTCACTCGATCTAGACCTTCCTGGAAAGCTGCTGTGACGAGGAAGACGATAAAGTAAAGGACCAATCTCCGCAAGGTTGTAGACCAGCTATAGAGCTAAGTGAATCTGTCCCAAAGTCATTGGGAAGTCGCGCAAGTCAAAGAAACCGAGCTTTCACCCACCATTCCACTCTCCATGCAATTATCGAGCTCAAGTGTCTTGTGAACACTCCAGCAAGTCCTCTGCTCGATTTGAGCTGCAGCTGCCATGGCACCAAGTGGCAAAAATACAGAAAAAATGAAAACCCAGCGCCCATGCATGGCTCAAAAAAGGTGTCGAGGCCGTGTGAAGCTGTGTGGCCGGCGAGCATCATAACTCAGCTATCCTTCATCCTATCACTTCGGCGATTGTTGTAATCGACAGCTGATGTGTTTTCTCTTCAACCTGCATACTTCGATTGTGAGAATCCAGTACGAATTGGCTGTGTAACGATTCATACGCGCCTTCTGAAAATTCTCGTCAGGACGCGTTGTACACTCAATATACGTCCTTAGTGGACGGGCATCATTCACAAGGATGTAAATATACGTCCTTAGCGGTGAAAGGGTTAAGGCAACCACCTGTCACAGAGGACCACCACAATTAGTACCAGGGGATATTATTCCAGTCAAATGCTCCTGGATAAGATGACCACCTATACCAACTAGTTGTAGAACGTCAGTACCGTCGGTCAGTGTCATGCAATGTTATCGCATGAGCTGATTAATTAGTAACTGGTGGTGTTAGTGGACTTTATAGCGTAACTTTTAGTTCCTTGGTCCTTTTTTTCTTTTCTATAAACCTATACACAGCAACCACATTTGCAAGTCTGCTAGAGTGGTCGGCTTATACAGGTTTCAACATACAGAATAGTCCCTTTACAGTTTCCAAGGGTATCACCATTATGGAAGAATGTTCCTTTATCTTCCTTTCATACTCCCTTTCATCACAAAATTCCATCTACTTTTTACATAGCGGTTTTCCAGAAACCATAAGTCAGTCAATTGGCTCTTATGTTGGCTTGCAGCACATTCATACAAGGATGGGGGGGGGGGGTGGGGGGGGGGTGGAAGGTTCCACCTGTTTACTGCCTAAACTGTGCTGTCAATGACTTCCGTGCTGTTGCCCCCAGTGTGATCTGTCGCACGCAATAAAAAAAGACATTTTGGACCATGATTGTGCCGGCATGCAAAAGGAAAAAAATCTGGGGACAGCTTGGAAACATGATGATGAAAGAACGAGTTTACTTGGACAGTGCCGGCGGAATGAAGTACTGTAGTGGTTTTAAGTGGAAAGGGCACGTTGTCTTGGATACCTCTGGAATCTGCGGTGATCAGAAACTAACTTGAAAACAAATTAGTTCCTGGGCAAGAGCTACTTTCAAGTACTAGTGGTGCAGTTAAACACCTGGGGGAGGGGGAAATATGTAAACCCTGGGGAAATGTGCATGATTGTATACAATCAACTATGAATGGGAGAAGAATTCAAGATTCCCACCTCATGTCATGTGAAGCCTGCCTGCTTGCTCTACGAAAACCTGCTCTACGCTGGCACGTGAATCTTGAAATGTTGTGCATGCGTCGACCCATGGCATCAGGCCATGCACGGTATGGCCATGGCACGTACTAGCAGTATCACTCTATGCCATGGGAGTGAATTGTGGCACTTCCATGCTGTGCCACTTAACACCCCTACACATGGCACAGAGCACCACTTGTAATCCAGTGCTGCACGCAATCAGTCCACTGCAAGCCACTCCAATGTTCCCCGGCCTTTCACTGGTCTATCAAAATATTGTTGTGCCACAGACACCAGGCCACACGCCACTCCATACCATGATGATCTGTACATGTGCAGTGCAGTGCCAGCTGTAAGCTGTGCTTCCAAAATACATGTGCAGGTTAAGAATATAGGGACATGGGAACTGATGCGGCAGCACTAAGATCTGTACATGTGCAGTGCAGTGCCAGCTGTAAGCTGTGCTTCCAAAATACATTGTATAGGTTAAGAATATAGGGACATGGGAACTTATGCGGCGGCAGCAGTAATAATTTCATCTTGTGATTTTTTAATCAATACAAGTAATTTGTTGGGCTATTCCAGCCCAATTTTCTAAACCAATTCCCACGTCTACATGGCCATGTCTTCAACAGGTACATTTACCTTCTAACGCCCCTTGGAGAGTTATGCATGTTGTTGTAGCACTTGGTCACTTGTGTGTGTGTGTGTGTGTGTGTGTGTTTGTATACACCATACAGTATTATTACTAGTATTATTGTATAATTATCTGTGTATGTGTGTGCTTGTACCGTGTTTCTGTGGACACAAGGGAACAGGCCACTCACAGGCCACTCACAGCATGTCACATATGGTGTTATGTAACTAACGAAGATTTGCCAGCAAAAGAAATGGTTGTGAAGTGTTTTCCTTCTTGTATCACATTTGCTCCACCCTGTCCTGTCACAAGAGCACTTACATACTGGGTGTCCTGGTCCATTTGATCAGATTATTACCAGACCAACTAATTGTTACTTTTAGGCCAGCAACACGTTTTTCCTACTGTGGAGGGCATGCCTACCCGCCATATCACACACAAAGTATAAAAGGCAAGGATAGGATGTCCTGCATTATGCAACGGAAATAATTGCTGTGCCAGACGTCCTCAAGCAGGTCAGCCCAGCCCAGTCACTGAAGGAATGCTAGATGCTGTTGACAGAAAGTTGTTTCGGCCATGAGCTCTAAGTAAGCCATGTTACCAGCCATGTTGCAAAGCTGGTACAACAGACTTGATACATGTACAGTATATGGAACTGTTTGCGTACAGGGCATCAATGCCAACCTTTCCGCTTCTGTCTCTCCTGGGCTCTGATACATGTGATGATTGAGTGTCTGTGTAATGTTAGATGGCGGTGGGTATTCCAGGTGCCAGGGCTTCAGTGAAATCCTCTTAGTGCGCACTCGGGCATATCCCCCCCCCCCCCCCCTCCGGATACTAGGTACTAGTACAAGTACACTTTCCTGCTGCCCATGGGGCATATCCCCCCCCCCCCCCCCCGGATACTAGGTACTAGTACAAGTACACTTTCCTGCTGCCCATGGGGCATATCCCCCCCCCCCTGGATACTAGGTACTGCTCAAATAGTACACTTTCCTGCTGCCCATGTGGAATATCGCAATATAATTCGACTGTAGCCAACGCTGTAAAAAGTCTGTGTGCTTTCAAATCTACACAGCCGTTATGCTATGAAAGCTTTTACAATCCTGTCACTTCAAGGCCACTACCTGTCCATTGTTCTGCAAACAAATTCATCCTAGTGACTAGTACTACCAGGTAGGCAGTTCCAGGTACCGTACACCGGCCCAGCACTACAGGCAGTTCCAGGCACTGTAAAGTCCCAACACTACAGGTAGTACCAGGCACTATACAATACCAACTCTGGGTGGTGTGGGTAGGCAGTTCCAGACACTGTAAATGAACAACACTAGGTTCGGGCACTGTGACTGCAAAGCACAATACCAGGTGGTGATCTTTAGAAGGCTGGTGATAACTTATTCACGGTGCAGTATCATGTGGAATGGCCAACATGCAAACGACTTCATCCACAGGGCCAGTCTGGGGAGACAGTTGGAGTGCTTTCTACAGGCAAATGTTTTTTTTTAAAGTGTGGAGCTGTAGTGGTGTTTGCCTGGGACTGAACTTCTGAAGAGGACTCTCAAGGTTGTTGTGCAAGAAGTCTATGTTGCCTCCCCCCCCGTTGTCAGGTGCCTGAAAGGGGCTGAACTTCAGTTCACCTTCAGCCCAATCTGCACTGAAGAGCTAAAATAATGGGACAGTGATACTTTGGAAGTACAAAATTAAGGGACAGTTTAAGATTTGTTAGAATGCACACTTGTCACCTGAACTGGTCCCAACCCTGTGGAGAGGCCTGAGGGTATGGTGAAATCTCAATATCTAACCACCTCACTTCCACCAGCCACCAGAGAACTAGGACTTAGTCAAAAATAGACCAGATCACTTTGTAATTGTGACGGCAGGGGGAAGGTGGTCAGGAACATAGGGGAGGTGGTCAGAAACCTGATACACGCGATTCGTGTTTCCCGACTTTCCCCGTCTGTACGTTGCATTGTAGAAAAGTCGTGTTTGTATTGTGGAGCACCTGCTTCTGCTTGCAGTGCTTGCAGTGCTTGCAGTGCTTGCAATGCTTGCAGTGCTTGCAGTGCTACACTAGCCTACAGTACGGTAGTCAGTAGTGGTTCCAAAACGCTACAACTAGACACTGGACAGTAACTTCTCAACGTCCCAAGTGTTTACAGTCGATCACCTCCACCCATAGGACGGGAGAGGTCTAATTTAAATGTAGTACTGTAAAACACGATATTTTCGGTGTATTATAAACTTTAATTTCGGTGATTTCGGTGGTGAAAACAAGCACCTAAATCTAGATTACACCTAAAGGGCACCAGAGTATGCACTGTATGTGAAGGGAATGCCGATCACCTAATTCCAAATTACACCTGAAACCTGGCAGGTCCCTGATATCGAAATTTTAATCCGCCTAAAATTACATGTTTTACGGTAACTACGTGTAGGTCTGTACTCTGCACATTCTGCACAATCCCAGCTGCCACATCAGCGACCATCGAACACACTATGTGTACTACAATGTGGGCTGCGTACCACTTCACGTCGCTGCTGCCCATATCTTTCATGAAATGCTGTGTTTATCGGCTCTAGAACTTGAGTACATTTAAGGGATACGCCCCGGAGTGGGTAAAATTAATGGACTACCATGTACCTACTAATACCCCAGTGCTGTATCCCTACACCCCCCGCCCGCCCCCCCCCCCCCCCCCCCCCGGCATGCATCATACACACGGTACTGTTTCTCCACCCTACCTGTGTTCCTGCCTACGGTCAAGATCAAGAAATGCACTCCCCGGAGCCTGGGGAGGGGAAGGAGGGTTACTGTGTATGGGTATAAGACCTATGTTCGCCCAAGTGCGCTGGGTACCACGGCCCTTCAAGTTCTTCTCGATTCTAACAAAATCAAAGCCGACTGGCATCTGTGAAAAATGGAACACTTAGTAATCTATAGTCACCTCTATGCACTGATGAAAGTAAGAAAATTTTCTGGAAACCCTTGGTGACTTCAATGATAGTTGGACATTGAATTTGACCGAAGTTGTTGAATTGTTGTGAAAATCTATTCTAGAAACCCCTTTTGACTTCAATGACAGTTGGGTATTGTGTTTTGTTGTGCAGCCCAAGCAAGGAGAAAGCGAAGACATCTTCAGAGCGAGCCCGGACAGCATGTCGCCAGGATTGGTGTCGTCTGGCGACTCGTCCACTTTGACCACACCCGTCTATGAAAGACCTCTGGGTGAGCCATTGTGGTTATCAAAAAAACAAAACAGGGGAGCCCAGGTAAAACATGAACACATCATGGTTAAAAAGTACCGTATTTTCCGGAGTATAGTGCGCACTTTAGACGTGCTATTTTAGGCCCTAAATCGCAGGTGCGCATTATGCTCCGAATTTGAAATGCATGTATTTCAATGAAGATTGAAGTGCGCACCCCCAATGAAGATTGGGGGTGCGCGTTATACAAAGGTGCGCACTATACTCCGACAAATACGGTACTGTAGAGGCAGACAATTTCGTCGGTCAATAATTTCGTCCAACTCCAAAGAAAGGGAGTTCATCCGGTTGTAAATTTCGTCCATGGATCATAAGAGTGTATTGAAAAGCTTCTTGGACGAAAAAGACGAAATTAAATTCCAGACGAATATTAATTTTCTGCTTGTACAGTATAGAGCACTGAGTTGGATGGGGTTGAAGAGGTTGTCATGCATCGCTCTCCAGATATTCCCAGTTGACCAGGCACTGGCGATGTACCGCATTTGGGTGATGACATCCCTGCATGCAGTCAGGGGGAGGGGATCATGTCCTGTGCAAAACTGTCCATCTCAAAATGATTTCCAGTGGGGAGTGGTGCAACAAAGCATAGTTTGACCTAGGTCATTCTACTTCGTGTGCAGAAAACCACTCTGAAAACCACTCTGAAAACCACTCTGAAATGTTTGTGTCTGCCATACTAAATTCAAAAACTTATTCCGGTGTCCCTGCTGGGAATTCAATTTAAAACTAGTGTGGGACATGCTTTCTGCTACAAGTATTGCCCCCCCCCCCCCCCCTCCTACACACTGCCAAGCCCAAGCGGCAGATGCAGCGCCTAACGGCGGGGCGGGGGGGGGGGGGGGTGAGTGGATAAGTCCCACAACCACTGGCACAAGTGCCGAGAAACCCCATTAGCCGCATCCATGTGCCCCTTGTGCCCGGCCACAAGTTCCCAGTTGACTGTAGGTAGCAGCACGGCTAGAGAAGCACCGTAGATCTCCATTCAATACAATAGTTTTGGGCCCAGAGCTCTACCTGTTGTGATTTCCGTAGGGTACGTTGATGGCTAGATTACCCAAAGGAGGCCATGGCGCTGTGGCATCAGGTCAGGTACTGGGGATTGGACAGGTGGCATCCCTTGCCAACTATGACCAACGACATCCTAAGGGCACAAAGCATACGCTGGAAGATCTGCCCACAGCTTGTGTTGACTGTGTTTTGTTGTGGCATAAGGCAGCGGTTACACTGAAACAAGCCACTTTGGGCTTGTTATCGCTGGCGCTCAGCTGGCTTGTGTGCTCCCTGCCGAGCGGTCACACCAGACATCGAGTGCCCCGCCAATTTTTGAATATCTCGAAACACTCCAAAGTTCGCAAGAAATTGGAAAGCAGAACAGTGGTGATTTACAATTAATTACTTGTGTTCAGTTTTGATGAAGAAGTAAAAATCAAGAACAAGAAGCAAAGGAAGCCCGGATCCTGAATTGCGACTTCGTGCTCTTTTTAATTTTTTCGGTGTACATGGACGCGATGATTTGGGTGTTGGTGTTTCCTGAGTAGTACCAATGGGCCCTTTACATCAATCCATACCAGTATTAGGTGTGTTGCATACAGCTGTAATGTCTATGTGCTCATCACAAAGAATGTGACACTCAACGACTGGTGTACCTGACAGGTTCAAGACTTGGGTGGGGGTTGGGGGGGGGGGGGTAGAGAGAGTTGTTGTGTCCATTGGAATGATTGCATGGCGGTATGGGCACGGCATTGCACTGCAAACTGCTTTCTCCCTCGTGTGCTCATGTGCTCTCTGTATACTGCTCTCCCATGTGCTCATGCTCATTGTGCAGCAGAGTCCGAGGCATCTGCAGCTGCGGTGGAGGAGACGGATGGCGGCAAAGTGAGCCAGTTTGACCACATCACATTCTGGGTTGGCAACGCTAAGCAAGTGAGTTTATGACCAGCGCAAAAGGACCTCCTCGGCCTTTCCGGGGACATGATCCCAGGCATGCAGCCTTTTGCGCAGCTTAAGCTTCAGCTTGCTTGGCAGAGGAGTGTACCATTCCTGTAGAAATGCAAAAGATGCTACGATTAGTGGCGTCTGGCACTAGCCAGGGTTAGCGGTGCTATATTTCGGATGTTTGTGTGTGTGTGTGTGTATGTGTGTGTGTGTGTGTGTGTGTGTGTGTGTGTGTGTGTGTCTGCGGTCGTGTGTGCGCTTGTGTTCTGTCACCCACTCGCAGTCTTCACACATGACTGATCACGTGACCAAACGCGCATAGTGAAGGGTCCTGAGCTAGCTCTCTCGCTGATTACTGTATTGGGTAGTTATGAGTGTAGGGAAAAGTGCAAACAAGCAAGAGCATGGTGTTGCATGGTGAACTAGGCTAAACGTTCTTTTGTCTTCCTCCTGTGTTCACTCCATTAGGCGGCGACATTCTATATCGCACGGTTTGGATTCCAGCCATTGGCCTACCGTGGACTGGAGAATGGCTCCCGAGACATGGTCTCACATGTCGTCAGAGCTGGACAGGTACAATCCAGTGTGAAATAGTGTTACAGATTACAACTGTTCATTGTATCTCTCACTTTCAGGAGGCTCCCTCGACAGGTGAACAGCCTTTTTGGGGAATCATTTAAAATAGTTATGAAAATACAAAATTTTGAATCCCCTTTTCTGGTGCTCTTGTGGCATTCTAGCGCTGTGACCAATGATTAGTGGAGTGCCTACAGACTCACTTCCACAGCTACTCTATAGCACCCACATGTTCATTGTTCTCTATTGTTCTTTTCATGTTCTCCAATGTTCCCTTTCCCGGTGGGGCAGAGTTTTTGAAGTAAAGAAAAATTAGATTCAGCACAGGACTCTAGTTATGGGCAAATGGGGCAAGTATCCCTTGGCAGGCACACCTTAGACCTCTGCACAGTAAATACTGTTCAAAGGGGTGTTCTGGGCACTTGGGTACCTGCCCATTAATCTCAGGTACCGTTAGAAAAGGGTACCCATTTGGATTTCGATGATCTAGTCTGTACGAAACAACACTGCTGGGATCGCTCATTCCAGATGGGAGTCAATTATTTACAGCTCAACTTTCTGAGACTCCAAACTGCACATACATGGTAAAGTCAATACAACCCCATCATCAAAACCTGGGATATCCATACCCACTTCTCCCCCCCCCCCCCTCCCCCCCCCCCCCCCTCCTTGGTTCCTACGACCTACTGCAATTCCCACACTCATTCACTCATTCACTCAATCATTTCGGGACTTCCGCATTCACTGGAGTACTCACTTACGCACTACTCATCTACTCACACATTCACCCATTCACTCAATCACCTACTGCCTGCATCTCTCACTCATTCACTGAATACTAGTAACTCCCCAAATCACTCACTCATTCACTCATTTACTTTCTTTCATTCATCTCTCTGTGCAGACCATTTTCATGTTCCAATCAGCGCTGTTGCCAGGCAATGAAGGTGGGACACTAAACTTCTCATATTAACCCTCAAAACCATGGGAATCATCTTGAAGCAGAGTTGAGGACCAATTAAATGCCTCGGAATTTAACTAGCTATAATTATAATACTCTTGGTTGTATATGGCGTAGCAGCTAATGATGATCCCTGAGGTATTGACGTTCCAGTGTGTGCCGGTAGAGATAGACAAACTGTCACTAATTCCAGTGTGTGCCGGTAGAGATAGACAAACTGTCCAGTGTGTGCCGGTAGAGATAGACAAACTGTCACTAATTCCAGTGTGTGCCGGTAGAGATAGACAAACTGTCCAGTGTGTGCCGGTAGAGATAGACAAACTGTCCAGTGTGTGCCGGTAGAGATAGACAAACTGTCCAGTGTGTGCCGGTAGAGATAGACAAACTGTCCAGTGTGTGCCGGTAGAGATAGACAAACTGTCCAGTGTGTGCCGGTAGAGATAGACAAACTGTCCAGTGTGTGCCGGTAGAGATAGACAAACTGTCCAGTGTGTGCCGGTAGAGATAGACAAACTGTCACTAATTCCAGTGTGTGCCGGTAGAGATAGACAAACTGTCACTAATTGCCGTGTGACATCTCTATAAGTTAAGAAGTCCATGCGATATGGGGCAAATGCTGCTGGAAATAATTTTTACTCAAGATGCGCACAGTTCGATGAATTTCCTGCTTGAAAACTATTCAGAGCTTCTGTAGGCATGTGAGGACTTCTTGTTGGACCATCATCTTCTCTACTTTTCTAAACACTCGCAGATTAAAGGCAGCCATTTACACTATAAGGGTTTTCTACCTGAGGACTGGCTGGGCCTGTACAAATTTGGTGAACATTTCAAGTTGGGTATGCAGCAAAGACACTGGCATGTTGAGTTTTTGAGTGTTTGGGTTCCGAAAGTCATTCTCTCAACTTTGTTCTTGTCTCTTGCACTGTACAGAGATGGGAGATCACTTACGCGACCATGGTGACGGTGTTCGGGATGTGGCCTTCACAGTCGACAACTGCAGAGCCGTGTTCAAGGTACGCTATACAGGGGCGGGTCCAGAGATCTCCAGTCCACAGGGGGGGGGGGAGGTGCCAGTTTAGCCGAAAGTTAAAACTGAATAGCTGATGACTGAAAAGGATCAATAATGCAGCGGTCATGTCGAAAGAAATTTATACCCAAGAGAACATGATGCTGAATGCGGGAAACTGAACCTGAGTACTGAACAGTGGAGGCAAACAGTGGTCACACTCAAAACAGTAACCGGTCTACCATCCACTGAAACAATCGTTTGAAGCGGTGCAGCGCTCAACACGGGGCGATCCGAAAGGCTGCTCCAGAATTGTTCGCTCGTCAATCTAAAGGCCGATTCATACTTCATGTCGCGTACGGGAAAGCCATCGCGCGACGCGACGATCGCGCGATGACTTTCCCGTACGCGAAATAGTTGAGTTATGAACAGAAACATTCTCAACGCCAACAGGAATACAGGAGGAATGGCGCACTCACTTAGAAAAAAGCAGGAACAACGGTAGCACAGAGTGGCGTAAGCATACCTTGTAGCGTGTTCAAGACGGTATTCACCCAGCGTGTTCAAGACGGTATTCACCCAGCGTGTTCAAGACGGTATTCACCCAGCGTGTTCAAGACGGTATTCACCCAGCGTGTTCAAGACGGTATTCACCCAGCGTGTTCAAGACGGTATTCACCCAGCGTGTTCAAGACGGTATTCACCCAGCGTGTTCAAGACGGTATTCACCCAGCGTGTTCAAGACGGTATTCACCCAGCGTGTTCAAGACGGTATTCACCCAGCGTGTTCAAGACGGTATTCACCCAGCGTGTTCAAGACGGTATTCACCCAGCGTGTTCAAGACGGTATTCACCCAGCGTGTTCAAGACGGTATTCACCCAGCGTGTTCAAGACGGTATTCACCCAGCGTGTTCAAGACGGTATTCACCCAGCGTGTTCAAGACGGTATTCACCCAGCGTGTTCAAGACGGTATTCACCCAGCGTGTTCAAGACGGTATTCACCCAGCGTGTTCAAGACGGTATTCACCCAGTAAGATACATGTACATGCATACAAATGCGAATGTCCGTGAAGCGGACAAGACTATCAACGGCAACACTCGTGACCAAAGCAGAGCTGAAGAGGAGAAGAACGGGCACCAGAAGATACAGCCAAGTCACGAATACAAACAAAAGCCCATCTAATCGACAAGTAGGTTCGACCTGCGAATGAGCCCATGTCCACAGGAGCACAGTGGCCGGGCTCAGGCTTGATGTGCCTGCTGGTTTCCCGGCTGGGACGGCAGAACCTTGCGATGTGACCCTGCCAGTCGCAATTATAGCACCTGACTGGAGGGCATTGGTCCTGTGGAGCTGGGACCGGGCGACGGGATGGCGGACGCTGTCACTGTTCGAACGTGTCAAGCCGGCTAGTAATCGTCTGGATTTCTGTAGTGACGTCGTCCAGCTCGGGGTGCGACGAATTAACTCCACACACAGGAGGAGGATTACCTGGAGACTCCAGCGTTTCGGCATGAAGTATCGCTTGCTGATGCAGTGCGGACTGCAGGGCAGCGTCCAACGTGTCCGGGGCCAGCTCCCGGACACGGATGCGTACAGCACGGCTATCCAGGCCGGCCATAAACTGGTCTTTGGCGAGGGTGTCACGATCCTGTCCCGGCATGTGGGGATAGGCGAGGACGGCCGCATGGCGAACTGCTTCACAATAGGACAGGCTCGCCTGGTTTCCCTGTCGCAGAACCTTAAATTCTGCTATATGTAAACTTGCCGGTTGCGGTGGTGCAAAGCGGGCTGCCAAGGCCTGTGCCAGCGGTTGTAACGGGCCTTGCCGGGTGACCACCGGCGTGCACTGGTAGAACAACTGTGCATCAACAGTGAGGGGTAAGCCCATCTACTGAACCTGTTGTGCTGGCGTCCACAAATGGAACGCAGCCACCTGCTGGAAGTGGGCGAGCCAGGTCGGTCAATTGTGAGTAAGTTTGCCTGACAATTTCTCAGTAATCGCCAACAGCTGATGGTGGACGGCTGGGGCAGGAGCAGCTGGTTGTGCCATCGTGAGGTCGAATCACTTTTCTTTTTAGGAAAACACACCGCTGCTGTTAGCTGCTCCCGGCTAATGATGCCCCCTCACACCGGAACACAGGGGTTTTATGATTGGATAATTTATAGAAGTATTCGAGAAGAGTGTAGACAAGGAGAACAGGACAACGACAACTCAAGACGGACTACAACAGAACTGGAGCATGCGCTCTTCTATGTGAGTGCTCATTGCCAAGGGGAACGAGCGGGAAATACAAATAGTGAGTATTCAGGTCGTAGCATACATACACCTATTACACTGTGCCCCCCTAGCTAAAATTCACGTCCACGGGAATGAACGAAATACCTAGGAAACAACAAAAGAAAACAAACCAAATAATAAACTCAGTCCAGGACATAGTCAGCTAGTCGAGCAGGTGCAGTGCGGACACGGCCAGAACGACGAGAAACAGGAGAAGAAGTACGGACCGGATCAGACGACGGTGGCTGTAGCTGCGGAACGCAGCGCGGCAAATCATCATCGGGCAGCGGCAATGTAACAGGACCGGACACAGTTACAGCTTTCTTGAGGCGATTGAAATGGACGGTACGTTCACACCCAGGCATAGACAAGGTATACGACGTAGGACCATTCACACGAACAACACGAAACGGACCGGACCAATAACGGTGGAACTTGGCAGACTCGCCGGCATGAATCACCTTATCATGCAGCCAGACTAAATCGCCAACGACAAACGAAGCACCACTGCAGTGAGCATCATACACTGACTTCTGGTGACGATGGACAGCAGCTAACTGAACACGAGCAAGAGAATGAGCCTGAGCTAAACGATCACGTACGAGCTGAACATAGGCAAATGGGGAGAGCTCGGGAGGATCAGGAGGAGGAAAGACCAGATCAACAGGCAGGCGAAGCTCAGCACCATACAACAAACGGGAAGGCGTAAAACCAGTACTACTGTGTACAGCAGCACGGTAGGCGAGAAGAACAAGCGGAAGGTGAATATCCCAATGGACATCTGTAGGGCCAACAAAAGCCTTCAGGTGATGGATTAACGTACGATTGAGGCGTTCAACAAGTCCATTGCCCTCCGGGTGGTAACTGGTTGTGCGGGATTTCCGGATGCCAAGGATGGTGCACAACGACTGGAACAACCGAGCTTCGAACTGAGAGCCTTGGTCAGAGTGGAGGCGACGTGGCGCTCCAAAGCGAGACACCCAACCATGAACAAATGCCAGAGCGACAGCCTCAGCAGTAATGGCAGACAAAGGAACGGCTTCAGCCCAGCGAGTGAAGTAGTCGACGATGACAAGGACATACCTGTTACCGGTTGGAGTCACAGGAAGTGGACCAACGATATCCAATGCGACAAACTCAAACGGAAAACCAGCAGCCATGGACTGCAACGGAGCACGGTGCACTGGATTCTTAGAAGCCAACTGAGCACAAGTCGGACAACTCTGCACATAAATCTGGACATCGGATGCCATACCCTGCCAAAAGAAACGTTGACGGGCCAGATGTAACGTTTTCTCAATGCCAAAGTGACCAGCACCGGGCAGAGAATGAACAGACGCGAGCGCAGCAGACTGCAAAACGACAGGGACAATCAGAACAGGATGTTCGACATCAACATCATGAGCGAACGGGGGATCAAGATACAACACCTTATCGATAAGACGCAACTGAGAAACAGAAGACCAAAGGAATTTCTGAAGACGGCTGAAGGGACGGATATCCTCTTCAGGTGGACGGACAAATTTCCCACTGGCAGCATCGTACCAAGACAAAACCGCAGCGAGATCAGGATCAGCAGACTGGGCACTCAGAATATCCTGCGGCCGAAAACAATCAGGCGGCGGATCAGGAGAACTGACGAAAGTGGCTCCAGCAACTGGCACTTCAGCAGCAGCTGACAGCGGAACATCACGGGCAAGAGGCGGCGGACTCGGCGGAGGAGACGGCACATCGGTCACCACGCGGGACATAGCATCGGCATTCAGATGTTGGCGACCTGGACGGTGGACGACTCGGAATTCATATTCGGATAAACAGTCAAGCCAACGTGCTTTCCGTCCGCGGGGTTCCTTCAGGTTCCGGAGTGCAGTCAACGCAGTATTGTCCGTCCTGGCAACAAATGGTCGTGCCAACAAGTAGTGCCTGAAATACTCCGCAAAATAGACCAGAGCAAGGGCCTCACGATCGCTAGCATCGTAGTTGCGCTCAGCTTTCGTCAGTACACGGCTGCCGTACCCAATTGGTCGCTCAGTTCCATCCTGGATCTGGCTGAGGACTGCACCAATCGACACATTGCTCGCATCGGTGTCCAGAATGAATGCACCTGCTGAAGCTTCAAACTGGGGGTACGCCATCACCGGCGCACTGGCAAGCGAACGCTTCAGAGCCTGGAACGCCGCTTCGCAAGCTTTCGACCACGCAAAGCGAGCATTCTTGCCTGTCAGAGCAGTCAGCGGAGCAGCACGCTGGGCGAACCCACGGATGAAGCGGCGATAATATCCAGCGAAGCCAAGGAACTCGCGGACAGCTGTGACAGATTTCGGAGTCTTCCAGTTCCTGACCGCGACGAGTTTGGCCTCATTCGGGGAGATGCCCTCCGCTGACACGCGGTGTCCTAGGAAAGTGACCTCCTCCTGGAAGAAGGAGCATTTCTTCAGATTGAACCGCAGTCCAGCGGACCGAACTCGCGCGAACACGGGCAGCAGAATCTGGAGTTGGCCAGACAGTGTTACGCTGGCATTCAGGACATCATCAAAGAACACACGGCAGAATGGCTGGGCTGGTGTGTTACATAAGCCACTCAGGACTGCTTCCATTACGCGCTGAAATGTCGCTGGGCCATTCCTGCAGCCCATCGGCAGAACATTAAACTCAAACAAGCCCAGTGGCGTGGTAAATGCCGTCTTAGCCTTGTCGCTTCCTTCCATTGCTATTTGCCAGTACCC